GTCACTAGAATGTTAACTCATATAATACATTAGCGTTGCATTAACAAAGGGAATTTTTTATTTTGAAATGCTTTGAATTAAAAACTTTCAAAAAATAAAATAGGTAATTATTTTTTTTTAAATCCTTTAAAAGTATTTGAATTAAAAAATTTTGTAAGATTTAAAAAATAAAAAATAAAAAATATATTTTTAATTTTTTGAATTAAAAATTTTAAATATATATAATGAGTTTAAAAATAAAACAAATGAAAAAATACTATTTAATTATAAATCTTTTAAAATATTTTGAATTAAAAGATTTCTTAAAACCATGAAAATTTTAAAACATATATTTTAATTTTTAAAAAATATTTTGAATTAAAAATTCTAGAAAAAATTTAAAAAAAGTTGTAAAAATAACAAAAGTGTTTTTCCTTTTTTTATTTTTTAAATTAAGAATTCATTAAAAATATAAAAATAGAAAAGTTTAAAATGGTAAAAAAGAAAAGAAGGAAAATCAAAGAGAAGGAAAGTGAAAAGAAAAAAAAAAAGAGGGAAAAGGGAAGGGAAAAAAAGTTGGCTGGCTTTGAGCTTATTAGCCAAATGTGAGTTAACATCTGTTGCTTAAGGCCAACTAGGTTGATGACAATCCCATCTTTTTTTTTTATCTCTCTCATTTTTTCCTTTTTTTTTTTCTTTCTTTCTCATACTTGGTGATTCATGTATTTATTTGTGTAAAATACTAAAATTTATATATTTTGTGTTTTACATGAAAATTGTGTCTCAAAAATTCATGTCGACATGAAAGCATAAAATACATTTTTTTTTTTTCATTTTGTTAAACCCATATATTGTTATTACTAAAATTTTAAGCAGTCTCACCTTTGGTTTTTTTATATTATGTTTGTATCGTATTACCATGTCATATTTTAGATTATTAGATATAGTCTTTCTTTTTTTTTTCTCATTTTTTCTATTCTAGATTTTTTTTCTAATTTTCTCTCTTTTTTACTTTAGAAATTAAAAATAAAAGAAATAATGGAACATGTTGCCGATATGCGACAATTGATGTGGCATTTATAAGATAGTTGGCACATTGTGATTTGTTGTTTAAGTTAGATAAGCTTCTTGGTTAATAAAGTTTAAAGTGTTACGTAAATTGCTAAACGTATTACAAGTTAAGGTACCTAATTGTTTTAGGTCATATTTGATGCATAAGATTATTGATATGATAAGATGATAATCATCATATATCATATTTGATTTGTATCTAAAGAGAATGATGTGAATTGCAAAGAAGATTAATATCCGCTTGGCATAAAATTATTCAATCTTCTTAAAATAAAGATGATTATCTTTAATTCGTGAGATTAAACTTACATATTTAATTATACTCTTAAAAATTATATCAATAATTTAATTTATATAAATTTTGATAAAAGATAATTTTAGCAAATAAATAAATTATCTTATCATAATCTTTACATACATCAAACATAAAATAATATGACATTATTTAATTTAATTCTATTTATAATATTATTTTATTCTATCTTATAATAATCTTGTATACCAAACATGATTTAAATGTCTAAAATCATAAACACAAATTACTCATTATTACATTTAATTGGGAAAAGAATTAAGTCATCCACCACATCGCCCTAAGAATGGATGTACACCTTATAGCATTAGAATATAAAGTAACAATTAATTAGCAAAAGTAAATGATAAAAAAGAGAAAAAAAAAGCAATGGGAGGTAAGGTGGTTACAAAGTTTATTTGGATGAAGTAGCGTCGGCTGATGGATAGTATTGTAATTTGAAGTCTAATGGTTGTGTGTGGGAAGACAAGCAAAAGGGAGGGAATTAGAGAGTATAATGAGAAAACGCATGCCAAACCCCAAGGGTAAGGCTATACTAATGTTCAAATTATGACCAAACCTTTATTCAATGAATTATTTCGGTATCAAACCTTTTATTTTGTTCATATCAGGATCAAGTGTTTTTGAAATCTCTCAACTAAGGATATATTTTAGCAAATTAAGGCGCGTGTCTTTGACGTGTCGTTAAGTTTCTAAAAGTGACAGGTGGCAAAAAAACTAGGGTTATACCTATCGATCTATTGACTTTTTTTTTATTAATATCTTATTTATTTTAAATAAAAAATTACTTTAAATTATTAAATAAAACATGAAAATAAAAAGAACTTTATCACTGAAAACGGAAGAGAGCAAATATATTTTCCAAAGAAAGATTCAAGAGACGAACCAAACTAGAAACAAAAATTCTCGTAACTTGTAATAAGATGAAATCTTATAAGTTAATTAGCAAGGTTTTTTTTTTTTTTGGTTATTAGCAAGATTTTATGTTTGTCATATAATTCAACAGAATCAAGCAAAAAAATGTAATTCAACAAGAAAATTCATGAAAATTTGGCTAGTATGTTTGGATTGAAGGGTGAGGAAGGAAAGTAAAGTAAAATAAAAAAAAAATAAAGGAAACAAAATCCTCTTTATTTGTTTAGATAAATATTTAATTTAAAAGAAAGAGAAAGAGGTGGAAACCAAATAACTTTTGGTTTCTCTTGTAACCAAATTTTTTTAATACCCTAATTTGTAGAAAAACCTAGGAAAAGGAAAGTTGAAAAAAAAATTTTTATAAAAAAACTATTATGTTCATCTTTTTATTAGTACTAAAAATCTAATAAAAAAACTTAAGCAAATCACAATCATCTTGTAAAATTTTCAAAGCCATATCTTTTTTAAAGTAAGTTTCATATATATCTTCCAATATAAAATTTTTTTATAATTTTTTGATGATTTGATTTTGATGAATGATTGAATATAAATAAATATATTTTTTAAGTTTATGAGATGTCACACTAGCTCAAAATTCATCAATACATATTTATAAAATATCTTTTCATTTTACACTATTAAAAATAATTGATATAGCAGTAATTGTAAAATCAAACAAAATAACAAACATATCATTATCCAGAAATGCTCTAAAATTATAAATAATAAAAAGTTATAATTAAAAAAAATTATTATAATAAATTATTTTTTTTATTTTTCACTCTATATCCAAATAATGATTGTTAAAATTTAATTTTTTATTAATTTTAATTATTTAAACAAAAATTATATATATCCATTTCTTTTTTAAAAAAAACTTTCTTTTTCTTTTATTTTTTTATTAATATTTATTCAAATATATAGTAAACTTCATTAGTACCCACATTAAAAACGTACAAACCTCTAAAAGCACAAGCAAATGATCTCAAGCAACCCACCTAAAACCCATTTAAAAAATTTCATCAAAAGAAGGAATCTTAAAAGAAAACTAATTTTGGTGGTGTATTTAACTTAAAACTTGTAAGGTTTTCAAAACTAAAAGAGAGAATTAAAAGGAGAGTATTGGTTTTGTTAGGGAGAGAGAGTAGAGAAAGTGAGAAGAGGAAAAGATGTGGGTTAGCTTGTCGGTGATCTGAGTAGTGGCAGTGACGGCAACAAAGCTGCTAACGCGAAAATAAATGAAAGTTTTTAGTGAGGAAAGGGAGAAAGGGAAAAGAAAAAGTTGAATGTTTGAAAGTTTTCAATGGAGCCTGCAATTAGAGGAAGATATCAGGTGGCGATGAAACGCCATCACTTGAGGAAGAAAGAAGAAAGAAGAAAGAAAAGCGTTCTAACTTGTAAAGTTACAATTAAACATTAATTAAAGACAAATTTTGTTAGAAAATAAAATAAAATATTTTTATGTCAGTGTGATTTTTTACGCACTTTAGCGATGCGTGAGACACGTTCTCCCATCTGCTAAAATTTACCTTTATTTGAGAGATTTCAAAAACATCATCTTGATATGAACAAAATAAAATGTTTTGATACTGAAATGACACGTTGAATAAAATTGAAGACCTGATTTGAACATTTAGCTATTTGTAGTTTGAGCAAGCGAAGAACAGCGATAGAAAAATATTGGTTTCGGAGGGATGATATCAAAATAAGCATTAGGGGCGTTTGGATTGGAAAAAGCAAGGTTTTTTATTAAAATTTTATTTTTTAATTTGATTCATAAAATATGATTTTTAAAATTTTTAAAGATTTTTAATAATGTAAAAAAAGTAAGATAATAAAAAACTTTCTTCTCACTAACATTTTATTAGATTTTCAAAGGAATGTGAAAATTTTATCTCATTTTTTTCTCACTTAATCTATTTTCAAATTATATTATTTTTTTAATATCTTAAAGTTTTAAAATAAATGTGATTTTTGTTATTTATAATTTTAACCAGTACTATATTTTTAAAATAAAAAAATAAAATAGATGTTGAAATTATATTTTTAAAATTTTAATATCTTAATAAAAATCATATTTTTTAAATAAAAATATAGTAGATATTAAAATTTTATTTTTGAAATTTTAAAATTTTAATAAAGATTACTTTTTTAAGACAAAAAATAATAAATATTGTTATTCATAATAAAATTAAAATAAAATATAAAATATTTTTATTTAATACTATCATATATAAAAATTTAAAATATTTTATTTAATATTAATAATTATAAAATTTGTTTTAATGGCTATGTCCATAAAAACCTTTAGGAGAGGATTTATTTATCATTCTTTCTATCCCTCGTCGACTTTATCTCAAAAGTCGATTTGTTTATTTTTTGTTTGGATATAAAAATAATCAATGTTAAAATAGTAATTAAGATTATAAAATTATAAAATATAAATTTTTTTAAAAAATTATTTAATTTCAATAAAATTAATATATTATTCATGTATTATATCTCATTCATATTCGATATTATAAATATTACATATTATTTATCTGTTATAAAAAATATATAATAAAAAACTATATTAGATAATATTATATTTCTTAAACTAAACAAAAATCTTATATCACTTAGTTAATAAATCTAAGAAATTATATATATATATATATATATTTAATATTAATTTTTTTTAAATCAAATTTTCTTTTAAAATCTAAGAATATGCCAACCAAACCAAACGCCTAAAAGAAATGCGCACGAAAGCTACATTTGAGTTAAAATAAAGGAACCAAAAACCAACCCGAACAAAACACCACTCTTTCTCCTCTTTGTGGGCCCATTACCGCCATAGCCAAGAACTAACCCCACCTCGGCATTCATCCCATCATTTCTATCAAGAAGTTCTCTCCCCTCTCTCTTTCTCTCTCTCATCAACACTTGCAATTTGCATAACATTGCTCTGTCTTAATGATAACAGATTCTTCTTTTTATTTTTCTTTTCTGATTTGGGTTTTATTTTTTCTTCTTACTAGTAAAGAATAAAGAGAGGTTCAAATAAATTTGGTTCTGATGATGCGTTATTTTTGAAGGAAGTTGGTGCTTGCTTGGCTTCTTTCTGGTTTTTCCTAGAATGGGGAATTGCTGGTGTAGGTGGGAACCTTCCATTTACAGAGTCTCATCTAATGCTAAGTCAGGTTTGTTTGATTTTCTTTTTATTAATTAAATTTATGTAAAGGAGTTTTCTTTTTCAAAAACAAATGACGCAAGTGAATTCAAGTTGCACGTACTCTGTTTTCCTCTGTTTTATCTTCTCTTTGCTTGGCTTGCATTTTTACCATTTGATTTATATGTTATTTTCTTATTGGAATCAGTGTCCACCATGAATTTTCTTTTCATTGTTGCTTTTCTTTCATTATCTAAGTTCATAGATTCTTTGTATTAGTATTGTGGGATTTATGTCTCTTTTTTGTAGAATGTTTTTCATTCAGAATTATGTTATTGATATTAACACTGTTGTGCCATTAGAATTGAAAAAGAAAAGAGTAAAATGTACGTTTCTTTTCTTTATTCCCACTCAAAAGCCTAGTGTTTTTTTTTTTTTTTTTTTGTTTTGCAAAAGCGTTCCTGTCACTGTAGTGCGCTTAGTCTTATCTAAATAGTATACGGAGAATTACAAACTGAGTTGATCCACAAAAATATTTATTACGTGGCATCATGATTAAAAATATTTAATCCAAATGTTTATAGACAAAATTAATAACCTCAATATCCAAATGTATATAGTTCATGAGATAATTGTATATGTATTTCAACTAAATTTATATAAATATATATATATATAGAACATAAAGTTATAAAAATAATTTTTGTTCTTACTAATTTTATATAAATTATTTTGAACATGATACAAATTAATAAAAATTTGTGTTAGACCATCTTTTGAAATTCCCCTTAATTATGCAAAACTTTGATAACTTTTTTCTAAACATTTCTAATAATTTATTACTTCAAAATTACCATTTATTTTCTTTTTTTATCTTCAATTTCTGCGAATTTATTAACTCCAATTTTCTTTTGTTGTACTTATTCTTGCTGATATAATATCTAAACATTTAAATTATGTCTATGTCTATGATTTATGAGTCTTTATTAAGAATTAATGTTGGGCAGCTTTTTGTTAAATCATAAATGTAAATTAGAATAGAAATTAAAAAACTGAAAGAGAATTGAGGTTGGTGCTCTGCGTCAACCAGTTCAAATCAAGGAACTCTTCTGTTGACCTGACTTAAGCCTCTAACAATTTAGGATTCAAACTGAAAGATCATATGGTTGTTAAATATGGTCTGTAAATTGCAAACTCTCCTTCAACAACAGAAAGCAATCTGGTCTTCTTAGGATATGAAAATAATTACATAATAGATGATGCCATTTGTGCTTGTATAGATAAGCATATATTCCTTTTTCAGAGTCTCCAAAAGACCAGAGTCCCTCAGAGAAACAAAGGAGGGATGATACCAAGTTGCCTTCAAATCCCAAAGAAGTAGAAGACCTACGTCGTGATTCTGCCGCAAATCCGTTAATCGCATTCACTTTTGAAGAGTTGAAGATTATCACCGGAAATTTTAGGCAAGACCGTGTGTTGGGTGGAGGAGGTTTTGGAAGTGTTTATAAAGGCTTCATTTCGGAGGACTTAAGGGTGGGGCTTCAACTTCAGCCCCTTCCTGTTGCTGTAAAGGTGCATGATGGTGATAACAGTTATCAAGGACACAGGGAATGGCTGGTACTCTTTTTTTTTTTTTTTCATTTTTGTGAAAAATGAAAAAAGAAGTTTATTATCACTACTGAGACTTCTAAATTTGCATTGTTCTGCACTGCTGCATGTATTAAACTTTGAGTTTCCTGCCAGTCTGATGAAAAGCTTTCTGGACTATTAGGCGGAGGTCATATTCCTGGGACAGCTTTCTCATCCAAATTTAGTGAAGCTATTTGGGTACTGCTGCGAAGATGACCACCGTGTACTAATATACGAGTATATGGCTCGTGGTAGTGTGGAAAACAATCTTTTTTCAAGTAAGTACATTTCATCACTAAACATAAATAAATCCATGCCATTGTAGGAATCTTGAAAATATCTCCAGCAAATACAACGGAGTGACTATATCACTAGGCAACAAGAAAACAATATCATTTGATTAGGCTAACACGAGTTCTCTTTCATTGCTCTTCCAATCAATGGGAACTCCAGTTCCCCACAACAAGGGGAATACTTTCATCATTCTTAGCCAAATCACATTTATATGGAACCAAAATATATATATAAATATATTTATAGTTTTTAAGACAGCAATTCAGTATGTTAATCAGAGTTCAAAGCAATTAAAAGAAATACATATTCCAAAATCTACTAGTGTGGTTTCCAGCAATCTGTATGAGTGAAGTAAAACTTCTTTATAAAACAAGGTGATAGAACAAAGGCCTCAGAGGTAACTCTATGGTTTTAGTAGGATCACATCTAGTTTCCTATAGTATTGTATAAGAACAGCAAACTAAGCTTTATATTCCATAACTTTTGGGTTGGTTGTATGAAAGGTCAAAAAAAAAAAAAATCATGTTGAGTCATAGTTTTAAATTTTCTTGTGTAATCATTTTTATCAAAAATAATTTTTTTATCTAATTCCTTAACCTCGTATTATTTTTTATTATTTGTATCCATGTTTTTCATGATCTACCTCTAAAAGTTTTGATCTCTCTCAAATCTAGAAACTTATTTCTCCTAACTGATGCACAGATAGGTCTATGTTTCATATGTCCAAACCATCTCAAACGACTTTTTCTCATCTTTTTCTCAAATTGGACTACCCTTAATTTTCCTTGAATTTTTTTATTTTTAATTTTGTCTCTTCTAGTCTTACCACATATCTACCTAAGTATCCTTATTTGAGCTATGCTCACTTTTTTCTCATGTTGTTTCTTAACGGCCTAGCACTCAGTCATATATAATAATATAGGTCTTAAGGTTGTTTTATACAATTTCGTCTTTAACTTTAAAGGCATGTGGCGATCTTCATCACCTCACCTATCATGCTTGAATCCTATGATTTACATCCCTTTTTATCTAATATTGCTCTAATTAATTGATCCCAAATATCGAAAATAACTACTCTTTGGTATTATCTCATCATTTAATTGAATCACACTTATGATTACTAAACTTACATTTCATATATTCAGTTTTAGATTTATTCAATTCATCTATAGTATTAACAAAATTGAGAGGTAAAGTTAATTTGATATGATACCCGATATTTTCCAATGTGACCAAATTTTGCAGATATCTTGGTAGGGGTAGTGTGCAGTTTTGCTTATTTATATGTAACTAAGGGAAAAATCCGTTGTTACAGGAGTATTGCTTCCTCTTCCATGGTCAACTAGAATGAAGATTGCATTGGGTGCCGCAAAAGGACTTGCCTTTCTCCATGAAGCAGAGAAACCTGTCATCTACCGTGATTTTAAGACATCTAATATTCTATTGGACCTGGTTAGTACTCTTTTTTTTTTTTTTTTCAGCAAACAAGGAATTATATTGCGTCAACAATGTACATTCTTTACACTTTATATAGTACCTACTAACCTCTATCTTAGTAAACTCTAGGAGCTAGACGAGAAACTATACGTACGGTAATCTCAAGGGTGTATAGTTAATAACATAATATATTGAAAACTCGCAATCAATTAATATTCAAGAATATGTAAGTGTAATCTAAACTAATAATTAATAAGAATTTAAGGTGGTCTGGCACTTCAACTTAACTTGTACCTACTGGTGAAAGAAAAAATTCATTAATTACAGAGAAATTACAAACATCTTCATCAACATTCATAAAATAGTCCTCAATCCAAACAAACCTGAACACACACTCGAGCATATTCTCCCATATACATATCCAAAAGCAACTCTAGGCATACGAGTATTTTCGCTCGATTTCAACAAACAAAAAATGACAGCAAGCTTACATCTATAGAAGAAAAATGCAAAAGAATCTGCTTGATTTTATGGCAAGTATGTGAATCAGTTGTAGATATTGCTGTGAGAGCCTTAGCTTACCTTTATAATTTCTTTGATGTATTCAATAAACAGGATTACAACGCCAAGCTCTCTGATTTTGGGCTTGCGAAAGATGGACCGGTGGGAGACAAATCTCATGTATCCACTCGCATAATGGGAACTTATGGATATGCAGCACCTGAGTACATCATGACTGGTAAGTTATTGCTAGTGCTTATCCCAACATTTTATCTATTATGCATTAAGTTTTCTTAAGGATGGATATCAAAAGAGTGGAACTTTCTTCTCTAATTGATTTTAATATCATACAAAGAATTAATAGCTAAGTAAGCTACTATATATTTTCATGGGCTTGAAAATTAATCCATCTCAGAGGTAGCTTATGAGCTGATCAGGGCACTTGCTCTTGTTTAAAGTACGTAAAAAGGGACAAATGCAATTGAATAATTGATATTAGCCATTTGGCTTTTTATTTTGCTTTTACACCGTTATCACACCGCCAATTTTATGCAGGACATCTGACTCCTCGAAGTGACGTGTACAGCTTTGGCGTTGTACTTCTTGAACTTCTCACAGGAAGGAAGTCATTAGACAAGTCACGACCAGCCCGTGAACAGAACCTCACAGATTGGGCTCTTCCTCTACTTAAAGAAAAGAAGAAATTACTCAACTTAATAGATCCAAGATTAGAAGGAGATTATCCCATTAAAGGGGTTCACAAAGCTGCCATGCTAGCTTATCATTGCTTGAACCGGAATCCCAAAGCAAGGCCTCTAATGCGGGATATAGTGGATTCATTGGAGCCTCTGCAGCTTTCGGACGAAGTTCCAATGGAAAACACTGTCATAACTGTGGTTAGTGAAGAACCAAAGGAAGAGTTAAATGTTAAGGGAGGTTGATACTGTAATTGGCACCAGCAATATGCTTTATGTGGTCAACTGTTTCTCCAGTTTAAAAGGAGAGTTTTTGCATCATTACATGGCCTTCATTTGTGAATCTAGAAAATCAAAGTTTACTTGGTTTACTTGCTATTTGAATACTGTATAGTAAATATCTATCAATCTTAATAGCCAATTTGAACTTGATAACTAAAACACACATCTTGTTCTAGCCATTCCTTTTATAACATACTAATATGGCAAATGTTAGATTTTTACCATGTGCCAATATCAGCCAATTGTTATTGTTATGTTCCATTCTATTCCAAGATATAGTGTACCAAAATGTATATTGCCTTATTTCTTTTGGAATTAAAGGCATTTCATTCCCCCAATTTTTTTTTCTGCAAGGTTTAGGGCCATGAATCACTTATGGGGTTGAAAAATCAATTTGGAGATCTATGGAAGTTATTGGTGTCGAGCACCAAGTTGAGGGATAAAACCCTAAAGACACAAAAGGAATAAAGAGAGCGGTTAATAGCAAAGGTTAGGAGTTTTCCTAGCAATTACGTTCTGAAACTTAAGTCAGAGGTCGGTATAAGAGGAAAATAAAAAAAAAGTATGAAAGTAGAGGAATATGATATGTCTAGATGATACCTAGATGACTTTATTTATAGTCGAAGGTGGGGGCTTTTGGGACGTTTTTGGCTGCCCATGATCCATCCTATGGTCAGGATGACCTAGTAAGCTAAGTTGACTTAGACATTGATCCTCCACTTAGGGAGTGACAAATTACCATAAAAATGGGGTCATTTGGGTAGGATGATGAGGTGGCCGAACGTACATGGTACTGTGCATGTCAGGTCGACCCAAAAGTCATAAATACCCTTAGTTGCCTGTTGGTAGCTTCTAATGGAGAGAAAGACTATTTTGCCCATTGGACCTAAAAATGCCCCTAACATTTTGTTCCCGTACCAAGTAGTCGAGTATCAGATTATTGAGTGTAGTTTTGGTTTTTTATGGTTTGTGCTGACTTGACAAGTGCTTGATGGTACCAAGCTTAATCTTAAGTGTAGACTCTGAAATTTATATCTAATATGTTCTACTCGAAGTTAAAAAAGTGAACAATTGTGAATGTCAGGGTGAATAAAGGTTGGACTAGGCAAATTTATAAGTGATTATTAACGTGATTTATATGTCGAGAGGAGCTATATTTGATCATGAGCTGGTGACCCATCGTTGCTTGGGTTGACATGGGACTTATATTCTTTCTTTGTTTTGAAATTTAATTTTTGACTTGGTAAATGGTTGACCTGATGTGACATAGGTATTTGACCGATGTAGGTAGGTAAAATAATCGATTTGCCTATCTACCTTTTGAAAATGACATTTAATAAGGACAGAGGTAATTAGACGGTAAAAATTCAAAGCTATGAATACAAAAGGTCATCCTCGATAATCATTTTAGACACATGGCATGATCTGAAGCATTCATCTAGTCCCTCTGCTAGCTATATAAAAGGCCATTTAGGGATTTCATCTCTCATTTTATAGTTTTCTTACTCTCATGTTGATCTATTTTTTTTACCTCAATCTTATTGATTCTATTTTAACTGACTTTTCCATCTTCATCTAGTTTTGTATGTTTCTTTTCTTTTAATTATGTCTTATGATTCAAGTTTTAGGAGTTTTAAGGTAGAACCAAAGGGAGGGTAGCTTGGCCAATAGGATTCAGATGATGAAGTCCCTTCTGTGATTATAGGAAGGAATTATACTCGACTTACCTTTTGGTTAAATCCAATGTTTACTACTGATCAGCAATGATTGAAGATAGTGCTCATCTTAGATGAGAGTTGGTCTTTTATAAGGTAGATGAGCTTCTTACTGCAATAGATTATGATTTTTAAAATGTACCAACCCCAATATTAGAGGTCAGTCCAAATTCTATAAATAACATTTCTTCTTCTATTCTTTTTTCTTGCCCTCACCTTTCTTTTTCTTCTTTTCTTCCTCATTTTTCTTGTTTTGCTTCTTTCCAACCAGAAGTTTTTACTTTTATCTTTTCTCAATGAGCTTTTAGGTCAATCTTAGGTTCCAATCTTGGTTTGGGGTCAATGTTTGAAAAATCTCTTGCTTTTTTCTTTTTTTTTTCTTTCATGGTGAGAGAGACCTTAGCTTCTATTTGGGTGGTGGCCCTTGTTGCCTTCTTGAGGAACAAGTTATCTAATGGCAAATCTTTAGAGAATAAGTAAGATCTAGATGAAGAATAGGCAGAAAGAACTAACCAAGTTGAGGATGAAGGGGAAAAGTGAAAAAGGGGAGGTTTCCTTGGATGATGTGTTAGATTAGGTCCCTTTTTATATTCCTTGTGACTTGGGTGTAATCCCTAGGACGTGATGCAAAGCTTGAAGGGTAGGGCCAATCCTAAGGATTGATTGCCCTAACATGTGCTCTTTGCATCATGTCCATTCTTTAAAGGTTAGATTTGTCTTTCCTAAAAAGGGGTACAATGTAGCAGATCTGACCATCAATATTCGAGTTACTACTTCCTTAGAATATCACCAAATTTAGATGTATTGAGAGTTTATAATGGCTGGTTTAAGGTTCTCTTTACATTTTTTCATCATTGGACTTTTTATTTCTTATAACTTAGCTATCACTCAACTCACTCCCAATTCTTTTCGATACATTATAACTTTTATTATTCTTTGTAAAAATTAGGTCTTCTTCCACCCGTCAATCTATTTAGGGAATTTTTTATAATTAAAAAATATCCCTATAATAAAAGTTGATTCTATGTGACAACTCGGACAGTTAAGAAAATTTTCATGGATTGCTTAAGCTTAATAAAAAGCTGGAAACTATTATTCCTCTATACAAAAGGAAAGATAAAAAGAGAGAGCTCGAAGTATGAGAAATAACTAATGTTCCTAGCATTTTTTATGATGTCTAGGTTGACCCTTTGACCTTTTTTAGCCTTACTGCTCAGGATAAAATATTGGATTTTTTTAAAGAGGGGGGAGTTGGTTGTAAATGCGTATGAGTTAACCTTTTTTAAAATTGTTAAAGAAACCTAGTATTGAGGTAGGTTTAAGGTAACTCCACACAGTGTTCATTTTCATAAATTTTTTCTAACACTTAGCTCATTTTGTAAACATTTCGACCTAAATGGGAGATTTTGATTTCAGTTATTTTACTCATTCCCTTAAGTAGAAGAGAAAAGGGAAGGCCTCCATCTAACTCAATGCCCCTTCAAGGGAGCATTAAAATAATTGATCTTTCAGCTCTTCAACCCACACCAAGCTTTTTCTTGCCTAAAAAAAAGCATAAACAAACCACTGGTAAGAGCTAAAAGAAGTCAATGAGCGAGGCCTTTCCTTGTAAGTTGGTAGTATTGAGGTTGCAATCAATTTAAAGTATCACTCTTCAGAGAATTCTTTTAAGGACCCCGAGGAGGTTAGGAAGATTACAAGTGTAAGCTTATCCAAAAAAAGTAAGCATGTCTTCCAGCTCAGTTTACTTTTTGTAACTAATTTTTTTATTTTATTCAAGTCTAAGTTTGGTCTTTTTTTGAAGTCAAAGGGTAGCTACCCAACTCGATTTCTCAAACCTCAAAGTAAGGACTTATGAGTGCCTATCAGGCTTTTGTGCACTATTACAAGACCCAGCTGAGGTAGTAACCCAACTCAATTTCTCAAATCTTGAAGCAGGGACTTATGAGTGCCTATTAGGCTCTTGTGCACTATTATAAGACCCAACAAGACCTTACGAAGTATTCCCATAACCTCTCCATTGCAACTGACACCAATAAGAGTCTGAAAGCTTTCTTTACTAGTGCAAAGAAATATAATGCTAACCTCAGCAAAAAGGTCAAAGATTGTATAGCCAAGCTTGAAGACATGTTTATCCAAAAAGTTATAGTTGAGTCCCTTTAGCAAGAAGCCGACCTAAAGCTGAACAAGGCTTTGGCCAAAGTGGCTAGGCTGAGGTCAAAATTAAAGGTTGAGAAAAAGACCAAAGAGCAAGCAATGTAGATCTACATGACGTCTAAGAAGTACTATAATCTATAAATCAAGTTTGCTCAAAAGAATGTTCTTGACACCTTTGACTTGGCATTAGATAAGGTGAAGTTTAAATTTACTAAGTTGAACTTAGAGTTATCGACATTAGCTTAAACAATATAAGGTCTAGGCTAGCTTCAACACAAGTTGAGGATGATGATGAGGATGAAGACACCAAGATTGAGGTCACCATAGGGGAGAGAATTGTTAAGCCCGAGTCTAAGACCAATGCTGGTGGACCTTTGACTCTTGTTCTTGAGGAACAAGGAGATAGAGGAGCTAAGGATATGGGAGGCATGAAGAAAGAGCTTTTTTTTTTTGATAATTTTTATTTTTTGATAAAATTTTTTTAGCAATTTTTGTACTATAAGATTAAATTTTATGTAAGATTTTAGATTAAATGTAAATACCACTCTACAAAACTTCTATTAATGTAAAGGTCACTTAACAAAACTTCTGTCAACTTACATTCTATCAATGAAATGAAAGCATATGTTTTTTGCCTAAGTTTTAGTTCTGCCATTTGTTTCTTGTTTTACTTCATAATTGGTTTTCATTACTCATAATTGCTTAAGTTTTAACTCAAAGCCAATCAGAATGATTTGATAAATTAACTTAAGAATCTAATTTGTTCGTTGAATAAAGTGCCAGCTTGTTGTAAGATTGTATTGAGTTTGTTACTTTAATTTTTAAATCTGCTTTTCAAGATTGATTTTGGATCTTAGCATGCTGTATAATAATTTCTTACAAATGTTAGATTAGACAACTGCTTTTACTGATTTGAGCTAAAGACTTTGGGTTTCATACTTTGTTAGTAAGTCAAATAAAATTTCTTATAGGTGTTTCTTTTATGAGTATGAGCTCGATTAATGTTCTAGCTCTAGGTTTTGTCATACACTGAGTATCGTCTGAGCAATTTTAAAATTTTATTTAGCTTTTAAAATTGTATAGTACAAGTATGAGCTCGATCCTACTAAGCTCCGCTATACACTCTTTCACTGATAGTAGATTTTGAGATTGTTTGCATTTCAAGTCCTTGATATGGGATTGGCATTCATATCTTGCAAGTTGTAGGTCACGTCATGGATGACCTCTTTAACTATGTAGAGGCCCTCATAATTCAGGGCCAACTTCTCACCTTGGTCACCAATTTTTGAAGCTTTAACTTTTTAAAGTAACAAGTCATCTTTCTTGGTACTCTCATGTCAGACCCTTTTATTGTAAAAATTAGATACTCTCT